TGGTATTTCAAATGTTGTATTCAAAGGAAGTTACAAAGGCCTCAAAAATGATCAAATAACAAGGTGGTCTTCTCGCCCTGATATGAAACACTATTAATGGTTGAAAGGACCTATCAACTATCTTCAAAGAGAATAAAGATTAAAATATGTGACAAATATAGTTCATCACATCTTGGATTTCTTCAACATATGAAGACCACTCTTTGTAGAACTTGTCTTTAGAAAGAAAGGTAATGTCATAGATATACATACGTATTTTAGTAAATACCTATATGATTAAATAGAAGTAAATAAAAATAAATAAAAATAAGTTAAATTTATAATACCTTATAGAAAAGCTTCTTATAAGCTTCATAGATATTGTTTTAACTTAACATGTGTTTGTAATTGATTGATAGGCTAGAAACTTGATCAACAAGTTAACTACGTGCTGGTAGCTTGCGGAATAAGCTAACTATGTGGTGCACATATAAAAAACTTGCCTTCTAAGTTAAGATATGTATCTTGCAAAGTCAACACGTTTTAGAAGTCCTATAGGACATCGACACGTAGCTTCTAATTAAGAATATATATGGAGGTAAGAGTAAAGCCTTCTTCACTCTTGTCAATACCTTTCTAGTCTTTAGTCTTATTTCAAGACTTTCTAGTCTTCTTGTTTTTGGCAATAGCCATTCTAATTCAATATTATATCATCTTTGAATGACTTTTTAGTTCTTTTCAATGATACAAGAGTATATTGATGATTTTCTTTCTTTGAGATTCATGTCCTTGATAACAACCAAATGCAATGCATTATATGTTCATGCATACATATACCTTCGATTTAACCTATGATATGTATTGTGATATGTAAAAGTACACAAAATTTTACAATAGTTATAAACCCTTGAATAGCATTTGTAGCATACTTCATAGCCAAGAATTTGTACTTTTTACCTTCTACTAACATGAATCTACTTTGAACAAAAAATTGCCTCATAGCTCTCATAACTCATAGCAAGTAATTGTATGCAAACTTATGGAAGGAATCACAAACTTGAAATACAAAATCTTGATGCAATTTTTGAGCAAGGTGGAAAAAAAGGTTATGGAGGAGACTATAATACATGGAATCAATGATTTGTAATACCTTCAACTCATTTAGCTACATAACAATAAGTGCAACATTAAGCAAAAGAAGACATGAATAAATCAACATTAACAAATGACAATGAAAGGTTGAAAAAAGAGAGTTGTCAAGCCAAAAAAATTGACAGTAAGAGTGAATTGAGGTTGAAACGAGTTGTAATCTCTAAAACAAGCAAAAGTGTAAGCACAATGGTTTAAACTGCAATCAATTTTTTAGTCTATTTATATATTTGACCAATTAGCCAAATTCTTATCATGATGTCAAGCGATTCTTCTCAACATGTGGAGGTCAGAAAACATCTCTTGAGGCTTCTAGTTAGATTTGGTGAATTGCACTTGAGTAAGTAAAAGAACCACACCATAACTTGAAAAGACAACTCATATCACCATGCAACATAGAATCATTAGAAACATAGAAAATAACGAATGTACAAAGAAATCAAGCTGGCAATATAGAAAGACTTACTAATAGGTTGATAGATGTACATTTTTTGTATGCATATTTTATATAGATTTTACAAATAAAAAATAGTTATCATATAATAAATTTTTAATTTTTTGCATTTTACATGCATAAAAATAGTTCCTGTATATTTTATTTTGACGAATCAAAGTGTGCATATCTAATTATATAAAAAATGATGTCTTTCTATTTTTCCACAAAAATTAGTGATTGGATGAGGTTGTTAGGACAGTTTTAAATCACACCGACCAAAATATGAACCACGGGATGGACAGAGTTCTCTGTGAGGGCCTCTGTCGGAGTCATCGGGTCCCGTTCACACTTCAGCCTTGTTCACACTTCAGCCGTGTTCACACTACAGCCTAATGCTACACAAAACAACTCCCTTTGTGGAGTTTCCCTGTTCACACTAGGACGGCTGTCACACCACAGCCTCATGCTCGACTTTTTCTATTTTCATATTTGAGGAGTAATAAAAATCGTGAATTATGTTACAAAAATACCAAAAAATAATGTTTTTTCAATTTTTGAAATGTACAGATATTTATTATTATTATTTTAATGCAAATCGGGAAGAGACATGCATAAACATAGATTAATAACTAAATAAAAATGCAAAGAGTAGAACCAAAAAACAATGGAATGCATAATTGTTTTATTTAGCTTATTCTAATATATATATATATATATATATATATATACACGTGTGTGTGTGTGTGTGTGTGTGTGTGTGTGTATTTAAGAATTTATTTATTTAAAAATTTAAAATTTTAATTGATGAACAGAAATCTGAATCCTTAGTTTGAAAACATTCTGGAATTGTTTTCCCAACTTTGATGGTGAGTTTTATATCAACTTGTCTTGGTTTTTGACTTAAGTCAATGTTAAAACTTATACACTGTATCTCTGATTTATGTCTTGAAGATGCAACTGAACACAGATAAAGGGCATTGTAAGATCCCCATATTAGAACTATTCTTAATATTGTTTTTCCGAACTTAAGAATCAGTGTGGCTACGTCTAACATGGTTGACAAGACCATTGTCTTCTTCTTCATCATCCTCATCAATTGAATCGAAGAGTGGCACTCAATCACCGTCAGAGGCACTAGATCACGCCGACCGTCGCAATTTGCATCGGGAATTTTAATCTCAGCACTGCCGGAACCCGAAAATCGTACATGGGAGGTCGCACTGTGCACATGACCCAGAGTGCGGCGCCTGTTCGTCCGCGACTAATTTGACGCAGCTGCATCGTTCAAGTCCATTGCGAGCTGCTTCTATGTCGCAAGCAGTGCGACAGTGTGAGTGACTTGATCGGACCCAAGCTTTTTGGCAACTGGAAAGGTTGCCGAATGCGAGGATTTGCTGTTGTTGCAACTCACGCACAATCCCGCGTCGCTGCGATCCTTCCCATCCGCCTCATTCCTCGAAGGACTTGCAGCGCCACTCCCCTGCTCCTGCTTCTCCTTCCCCTTCAGCATGCCTCTCACGGATTTGTGGAGAGCGTTGTTGGGTATTCGCAGCCAGTGTCTGGATTGATGAGGCTTCCGATCAATGTAGGCAGGGTTGTGAAGAGTTGCTGGCATTGGAAGGGGCGTGGATTGTCTCTGTCTGTTGACATGAAATTTGTTTTTCGGGGGCTTTCATCTGCCCGTTGCGCAGTCTTTCTGCAGTTTAGTAGGGCCCAAGTCTTTGAAGATTCTGGTTCTGGGGTTGGAGTTTTGTTGCCGTTTTGTGTTAGGGGTAGAGATGGTTACTGCTGATTTTGATCGAAAAAGAGGACAAGCAGTGGGACTGTCGCCGATGTGCCAATTTGGTGTAGTTGGTTAGATCTCTGTGTTTTTGGGCCGCGATGGTGTTGGAATTAACGACCATGAGTCGATCGATGCAGCTTTTGTCGCAATGATCTGTTGGGTAATCTTCGTAGATGCACGTTTTTGGGTGAGGAGTGTGGGTTGCGGCACTGCAAGTGGAGGGAGGGAGGGAGGGAGGGAGGGAAAATGGTGTATTCAGGTTCTCTTGTTTTACTTTTAAGGATCGGATAATTTTTATTTGGTCGGAGCAGGTCATGCACGTATGTACATGAGGGACTTCACGTGGACCTGGGTCATATATTGGATTTCCTGCTCTCGCAGAGCCGTGGCCCCGAATTTAAGTTGCTCGTTATCATTAGCGAGAGATGAAATAACCAAACAGAGAAGAGTGTTGATTCCCATCGGGTCGATATAATTCGTAATTTGCGATTAGGATTGAATTGGTGGACAGCAAGTGTTAGGGTAATGGATTGGAAGCATGAGATGAAGGAACCAGGCATTGATATGGTTGAAACCGCGGCCCCTGAACCTGTTGAAGATTCTGATGAGGAAGCTCTTCTGGAGTATTTGTCTTACCGTAGTCAGCAAGCTAAACTGGAGAGTGCTCGATGGGCAGGATACTCTGAACATCAACCTGCAATGCAGATTTTGGACCTGCTTCAAGAATCCACGACGACCCTTCGGAAATACAGTGGTATTCTTCTCCTCTTGGGATTGTGCCTAGCAGTCCCGTTATCTGTGATTTTTCTCTCTCATGTGCTGCTTCGGCTTCCCTTCATTGATCATTGGATCAGAGGTGTGCAATTCGCTGCGGAGCAAAGATTCAAGCACCACTCCCATAGAGCAGCAGGATAAAGAAGACTGGCAGAAATCATAATGTCGAACATGGTGAACATTCCATTCTCGGCTTTGTTCTCCTCTTTGCTTAAGGCAGGCGTAGCCTACGTTGTAGCCTTCCCTTACGCTCGTAAGAGACTCGAATTGGAGGAGGTTGTTGACGTTTTGCAAAGATTTGGTTACTGCTCATGCTGACTTTCATGTGGACATGCTTGGTTTACTTAAGCTTCGCCACTGCGTTTGCTTCTTTGTTATGGTTAGCCTCTCATACCGAGTCTCTCTTCGGTGCCACCATCTTTGTTGTTGCAACCAGGGTTGGGCTGATTCTAGCAGCGGGAATGGCGTATGCCAGCTTGATGTGCAACCTTGCTTATGTAGTGACTGCACTGGAAGGATCCCATGGTTGGCCAGCTCTAGCTCAGTGTATTCAACTTCTCAAGGGGAGGTTCGAGGTCGCGCTGTTGCTATTCCTCGTCACCAACGCGAACGGTACGCTGCTGGATGTTTTGTTTGAATTTCACGTCATTCGGAATACGATCGCCTTCAATCCACCTTTAGCAGTGGATCGCTGGGATCTCGCACATATGTACATTAGCCTACCCATTATTTTCATACTAGATATAGGTTCTAGATGAGAGAGAGCAAATTGTATCCTCTCCCAGCAATTCACTTTGGCCACATTGGTCTCTATTTTTGATCGGATGCATGTATGTCCTTGTTATACTCATAAATTACAAAGTGTTTGTGGTCCATGTATATTATTTAACTATTAGAGTTAAAAACTTTTTCATTTATGATGCCTGGAAGAATGGCCCATTCCACATGAAGTGAGAGTATCTATTTTGAACTTTACATAATCTATCTTTGAAACCCAAAGCAACTACGATCACTCTGTGCTATTGAGATACTTCTCATTAGCCTCGCGCCATAGCTGCTCAATTCCATCCAAATGGGCAAGGCCAACTACGGCCACAACCTTACCACTCAAGTTTCTCAAAGCCTTCGTCATGGACTCGTTACGCTCTCTCAACAAAATATTCGTGAGAGCGGGAGCCTTCTTCTCCATTTCTTCATTGAGCTGGCGCACAAGTTTACGATCACGGAGTTGCTCGAACTCCATCTGACGAGGAGCTCGGGGAGTGGTACCGCTCATTTTTTGAGCTATGTCACTAGGCATCGGCTGCGCAAAGAATTGCAGAGCTTCGGCAACGGACGTCTGCTCTCCAAAATGCTTCAAAGTGACATCAATGTCTTGGTCTCCTAGCACAATCTTAGCTCCGGCCTTCTTGCCCTCCTGAATGGCGACCTTAAACTCTTGCCCAGGTTGCAGTCCCCAATAGGCCAGCAACCAGTAGAAACCTGAAAGACCCAAGCCCAAAACCTTTCCAACAGCGCCGATATTGTTATTTGTCAAAGTCTCCACCATCTGCTGAACGAAAGCAAATGGGTTATTTTGGCCGTTTTGTCGTTGCAACATGGAGTTATACCTCTTCCTGTCCAACTCCACCAGCACGTAATCTGGTTTCACTCTTCTGATGACATCTCGCACTTCATCTGCACTTTGTTGAGAGACATGGCTGGTTCCAACCAAGTAGAGATCTGCTCCATTTTCTTCATTCCTCAAGTACACCACAGTGCCATCGCTAGGAGCCTGCTTGCTGTTTGGAGCCTCCGCTTTCTTCCTCTCCACATTTTGCTTTTTGAACTCCTCTTCCAACAATCTCTTCTTTTTGTCTTCAATCTCCTGAATCATCTCGGGGGTGTACACTTGGTCTTGCTCCTTCAAATCAGATGATGAATTCTCAGCTTTCACATCAAGATCCTGCGGAGTGTACACTTGGTCATCCTCTTTCAAAGTAGTTGACGAATCTCCTCTTATCACGTCGGGCTGCTCACTCGAGTTCTTCACATGGTCTTTCTCCTTCAGAGTAGTTGATGAGTCCTCGGTTTTTGCTTCACATGGCTCCTTCGAAGTTGATGCTGAACCTTCAGATTTCACGTCTCGGTCAGAACTGACTCCAGGTTGCTGCTCGTTTTTGGTCTCCTTCCTTTGCTTTCGTAGTCTTAATTCCTCCTCCTTCAAGCAATGGTCCCATCCTTTGAGCCACGAGTTTAAGTAATCGTACGTGGTCGAGTACCCCGGCTGCTCAGGACTCGTCTTCTCTCGCTCTGTGGTCTCATTTTCAATATTCTCCTTCATTGGTCGTAGTCTCCCCTCCAAGTTTTTAATCAATTCATCAATATCTGTCTGATGAGTAGTATCTCCTTGAGCAGCTGCTGCTCTTAGTCTTCGCTCCAACTCCCTCAGCAGCATCATGTCCCGATCCTGCAAGCTGCGCTGGTCCATCATCCTATTTCTCATCTGTCCCTCGATCATCTTCCGGAACTTTGCCTGCTAAGCTCGAATTCTCTCCTTCTCCCGTTCTCTCCAGGCCTGGCTTCTCGGGCCCGAATCGGAAGTGATCACCGGACCGAACGGTGTGAAAATGATACGCCCAGAGACATTTCTCGTTTTAGGACCCGAGGGTGAGCCCATAAAGGATCGCACTCCTCCCCCTTCTGCGATCAAGCTGCGAGACTCAAACGCAGAACTCTTAAAGGTGCGACTCGATTGAGGTGCAACTCTCACTCCCAAAAACGAGCTGCCCTTAATCGTGGCTCTAGTCCGGGACACACAGGACGAAGAGCTCGCAGCCGCATTGTTTCTCTGCAATGAACTACCCTGGCTATTGACAATCGCGAGGGAAGATGGCGCAATACATCCCAGAGCTGCGGAAACGGCCGCCATAGTGCACAATCAACTGCTACTCCCAGCACTTCCAATTCAAGTTGCGAAATATGCACAACCACGCACACACAACTACAAACACTGCTCCTCTGGGATAAATCATCAAGTGTCATATGCGCAGCTTGAGTTTCGCTGTGGATCCAACAGATCATTTTATGCATAACCTGCTAGTGGAGGTGGTGCCGCTCAATCCGAAGGGCTCTCGTCACTTCCAAGAAGGCGGTGATTCTTCGTATTGATGTGGACGAATCGAAGCAGTCAGATGGAAGTTTTTTTCTCATGCACCGGTGCCGTTCGATGCGCACCGCTCTCTCTCGCTCCGTCTCGGATCGAGGAAGAGGAAGAGGAAGGAAATGAAGAGCATCAGCGGTGTGGCCACATGCGACGTTGAAGTGAGCGGCAAGCTTGATCCCGACATGCTCCTTCCAGAGGCTTCGCGCCGCTTCTTCTTCTACTTCAACCTCCTCGACACTTCAGTGTTGTGTCATAGTGTGAAAGCCCTTTCGATCACAACAATATCTTTAAAAAGGATTATTTTATATTTTATATATTTTTCAATAATTTATTTGCTATAGATTTTAAAATAATTATGAAATACGGTTTGTATCTTCATTAAAATAATTACACATAGTTATATATCTATCTATTTGAGACAGCTTGGGTATAACACAAAGAAACAAACAAAGAAGTCTTCCGATTGGCAAAGAAGAGAACTTGAAAAATAAGGAGAATATGAAAATCAGAAAATCAAGGAATGTTAGAGCATGGATGAGCAAGGGAATAGATAAATGCCCAATATCACGGGTTTTTGCTTATATATATATATATATATATATATATATATATATATAAAATCTTAAATTTGATTAAAACTTTAAATAATATGATCTTACACAATTTCAATAAATCATATTTATAAGTTATTTTTTGAAGACAAAACACAATATAATTATATGTTTTTAATAAGATAATGTGATGGATATATAGATAGATGGATAGATAGATATTTTGTCTTCACTTATATAAATAATGCAATTAATTTATTAATATTTATACTATATTTTCTATTTAAAAAGTTATCTTATTCAACTCTTATTACAATTATCATTTATTTTGTTTAAACTTTAGAAATTAGAATTAATAACGAAATTATGTTTTAAAAAATCAATATTTTATTAAATATTATGTAAAAAATATTCTATGAATTGATTTAAAAATATTAATATTATTGATATTATAGTGGTAAAATAAAAATATATCTTAAATCAAAATATTTCTCATTTATTAAAAAGTTAAAATATTCTTTTTTAAATCTACTATCATATTAAATAAAAATCTTAGAAATAAAAAAATAACAAGTTCCAAATATTTTAATATCATGATTTAATTAAACTCAAATTTACCTTAATATAGATTTTTTCGAATAATGTTAATTAATTGTGATGTTTAGAATATAGATTTACAAATAAAATATTAATTATTAATTATAAGTAAAAATAAATATTTTAAAGTATTTTAACTTTAAAATATTAATAAAATTTAAATAAATTTCTCTCTCTCTCTCTCTCTCTATAGATATATATATATATATATATATATATATATAATTTTAGATATATAATTATAAATATGTATATATAATTTTATCTAATTTTTAATTTAAAAATTTAGAAGTCTTTTATAAAATGATATATTAAATAATATTAAATTAAATATTTAATAAATAATTAAATACTTCAAAAGACTAAAGAAATATATTTATATATAAATATGGAAGATATTACGGATATATATATATATATATATATATTCTAATATTTATTTATACTATTAAATAAAAATAAAAATAAATAAATTTATTTTATAATATATTCTAGAAAAGCTTCTTAAAAGCTTCATAGATGTTGCTTTGACTTTATATATATTTGTAATTGATTAGTAGGTTAGAAACCTAATCAACAAATTAATCACATGTTTGTAGCTTATGAAGCAAGATAAATATGTAGGATATATATAAAAAACTTGCTTTACAAGTTAAGATATATATCTTGCAAAGTCAACACATTTTGGAGGTCCTATCGGATATCATCACGTAATTCCTAATTAAGAGTTTATAAAGAGGCAAAAGCAAAGCCTTCTTCATTCTTGTCAATGCCTTCCTAGTCTTTAGTCTTGTTTCAAGACTTTGTAGTCTTCTAGTCTTCATGGCAATAGGCATTCTAGTTAATATTACATCACCTTTTGAGTGACTTTCTATTTCTTTTCAGTCATAGAAGAGTGTATTGACTTTGCTAGCCACATGTCTTATCTTACAAGGCAAGTTAACTATGTATGTGCCACATAGTTGGCTTATTCCACAAGCTACTACATGGAGATAACTTGTTCCACAAGCTATTAATACATGGTTAGCTTTTTGGCCAAGTTTCTAACCTATAAACACATCTAAAGTTAAAACTTTATTTATAAAGCTTCTAAGAAGCTTCTCTAAAAGACTTTATGAAATTATTCTATATTTACCTACTTCTACTTAATCATATAAGTAACTATTTAGATAAATGTATATGTCCATGACATTATCCCCCTTCTAGGGATGAGTTCCACGAGGAGCAGTCTTCATATGTTGAGGAAGTTTAAGATGCGGAAAATTGTATTTGCTACATACTCCGATCTTTGCTCTCTTTGAAGATGGTTGATAGGTCCTCTCAACCATCTATAGTGTCTTATATGAGGGCGAAAAGACTACCTTGTTATTTGGTCATTGTTAAGGCCTTCGTAACTTCCTTCAAATAAAACATTTGAAACACCGTCAGGAGTTGTTCCTACCTCTAATAAAATCACTAAACATCGGGAGTCTCTTTCAAGGTCGTGATACCAAACATGTTCTATTTTGCCATCTATTCAAGGAAAGACATGTCGCTCTTGAGGATCTTCATCTCGATTTTGTCATCTTGAAGGTTGTGACAATCACAATGTCTTGTTTGGTAAGTCCGCAAATGAAAGCTCTTGAGTTCAATCTGCTGGTTGTTGGTACTCCATCTCATCACAAATACATAGAAGCTATAAAGAAAGATAGGAGATAGAATGTTATTTTTCTTTGATCTTGTTTCTTATATAGCAAAGGTTTGCTATTTTTCATCTTGATTTTGATGGATGTCGTTGATGAAAGACTTCAACTTTCTTTATTGCATTTACAAGATTCTTTGATGGATCTCATGTGCATTCACTAATATCATATCCATGCCAATGAACAAGATATTCCAACTTATTTCGGTGCCACCTTAAGTCTAAGACTTCTTCCACCTCAAACTCTTGGTTTTTATCCACTTCTATAGGAGGAGGTGGCATTCGTCTTCTTCCCAAGATATTCACTATCTTATATGGCTCCAGAAGAGATACGTGAAATACAGGGTGGATCTTCATAGACTCCAATAGATGTAATCGATAGGCAACAAGATTGATTTGTTTACAAATAAGAAAAGGTCCTACTCTACGATAATCTAATTTATCACAAAGACGAGTAGTCTTGATATTACGACGAAGTAACCATACCTTGTCATCCATATTATAATGTGGATGCTCCTTGCGATAGGCATCCGCGTTGGTCTTTTGTCATTCTTAAGCTTTCTTTAATTGTATCTTCATTATTGTATGTAGCTGTGGCAAGCGATTTGCTAAATCTTTTGCCACAGGATTATCAACGTTTGAAAAGTCAAAAGTATCAAGATATGGATGATAACCATAATTGGCAAAGAAAGGTGTTTGTTGAGTAGAAAAATGTACTGAATTATTCTATATAAACTCTGTCAATGATAAAAGAGTTGTCCAATCATCTTAGTGATAGTTGATGGTACATCCCAAATATTGCTTCAAAACTTGATTTACACATTCTGTTTGTCCATCAGTTTGAAGATGAAAAGCTAAAGAAAGCTTTATATCTACCTTTAAAATCTTGATACAAATTGAGTCCTCTTATCCGATATAATATCCTTTGGCAATCCATGATAGTGATAGATATTGTCAATGAAAAGCTTATTTATTTCTTCACATGTGATAGATTTTATACATGGTACAAAATGTGCCATCTTGGTAAAAAGATCTACTATCACAAATATAGAGTCATAAGAACTTGAGATTGGAACATCCATGATGAAATCCATAGAAACACAAAACCATGGTTGTTTTGGAATGAGTAATGACTAAAGAAGTCTATAAGGTCGATGATGAGGAGTTTTTGATCTTGAGCAAACATCACAAGATTGTACAAAATCTTTGACTGCCTTCCATATTTGTAGTCACCAAAAATCCTTGGATATTAGTTCCAAAGTTTTATTGTATCCAAAATATCTTGCTACTGGAAAGTCATGACAAGCTTGAAGAATATGTAATCGAGCTTCACCTTTTGGAACATATAGGCATCCTTCAAAATATAATAAATTATTCTTGAATTCAAACTTGGAAGTATCATGAGACTTAGAGGAAGTATCTTTGATATTTTAAATAAGAGGATCAGAGGACATGCTTGATTGAATTTGCTTCACAAATATTGAATTAACAGTCAATGTTGATTTTATAGCTTGAAGATGAAAATGCTCGAGCTTCAAGAGAATTGATCTTTGTTGATGAA